TTTTTCGGCCCGACTGAACTCCGACAGAACTTCTATGAATTCGGTTGAAACTTAGATTGATTCACAAAATTCAGCCGAAACTGTCTCTACCCTCAAATTCCGACTGAACTTCAATCGAAACTCGGGTAGTCTAGCGATTCAGCAGAAACAACCATCATTGCCCTGAACGCTGCGGCCCGGCCTCAAATTGCGACTGAACCTTGATCAACGCAGCTGAAACCTTAACCTTCTAAACTTTAAACCGTGCATCCTTCCCTTCAACCCTAAACTCGTTAAACCTAACTTTTTTCCCCTCAACCCTGTAACAACATTGCCTGCGCCAGTGTCGCCAGAGGCGACGATAGAATCATCGCTGGAGCAAAGGGCCACGTCAATGAAATCTTCATCCTGCAACACAGTGCATTATATAATAGCCAGCCGATAGATAATACACACTATGCAAGCATAATCCTCAACGTCCATATCCGCAACTCTGGGTTCTGCATCATCATCCTCATGATCCTCATGTGCATGCAGCCGGACTAACTGCTGGCCCAGTGAATTATAAACGGACACCGCCTGGAGGCCCATTTCCACCTCATCTGGGATGACTGGGATATGGTCATGGCTGTCCTGCGAATACTTCAGGGTCGACCCTACCTGTTGCATGGTTGTGCTTTGCACTCCTTGGCATCCTCTTCAATCACATCCAAAGGTGTCTCCGCCACGCGCTTCATGGTTTGCGGCACTATGCAAATGGGATGGTCCAGGTCATGCACTTTATGCACACAAACCAGCCCTGCAACACCGTTTTTGCTTATTATGAAGTTTGCCGGAGTTTCAAAAGAGAAGCAATCCTACTTGCAACAAGGAACGATGCCTGGGCCCCCGAGCGGGAGCGCCAGCGTTCGTTCCCTGCTCAACAAAATTTTCTTTTCTCTCAACACCTTGAGAAGGAACTCTGCATAACGAAACAGCGACATGTTTCGGGCAGTTTCGGGTCCCAAACCTGACATGGCTCAAACCAAAACAAACCAATCGTCACTCTTGCCCTTTTCTACTCTCGGAATCTAATGGTCATGCTGCGCTGGGCGGCAACCGTGCTTCCAGCTCGGCGTCTGTTCCTGCTGCTGCTTCGGAGGGCACCGCGGTGTAATACATGTGAGTTGTTCGGTCCGGACATTCCAAACCTTCCAGCAACCAGGCTTTGAGCCTGCGAATAACGGCCTCCTCAGTGGATGCTTGGTTGACTCTCATCGATTTAGTGCATTTCCCGTCACACATCTCATCACCATGCCCATTGCAATATGCGCGGTACTGGTTGACAGGCGCAGACTCAATATAGCGGATGTCCCAATCTCCAAACCGTACCGACTTTGTGTGCCGCTCGGTTCTTCTGGGTCTGCGAGCATTCGGCTCAATCGGTTCACCATGGCCAGATTCTGCTTCCATCTCGACCACGGCGGCCGCGGCTGGCTGCCGTTGCCGAGGTTGTCTCAATCTGCTATCTTGATCCACACTCACAGGTGGCCTTGTGCTGTCTCTGGCACTACCTGAAGCTGACTCCGAAAAAGCACCGCGGTTGCTCGGACCGCCGTTCTGTGCAACAGGTGCCAGGGTTTCAACCGCAGGCACGGTCGGAGGAGGTAACGCCAACGTTGCTCCCCTCCGGTTGGCTTCCATTGGTTGTTGCAGCAACTCTCCGTCATCATTCATCGGTGGGCCCAAAGCAAACAAACCGCTGGGTTGCGTGGTTTTGTCTTGCAGCAAAGCTCGATACACCGATGCCCTACGAAACGGCTCGATACCTTTCTTGATGTCATCCGGCGCTTGCAGCAAACATCGGTAATACGATTCGATCTGGCCGTGATGGATGGCCCGCACACCGCAGGCAAACAGCTTGTCCGCTATCAACAAGCATTGACCGTACGATTGAAAGAAAGCACCCTTGTTGTCTCGATACCACAGCTTAGCTGATCCCGCTTCGTATGGGCGCCTGGCTTCCTCACTCAGAATAGCCTGCTGCCAGCCCTGTGACTCCAGACGCAAGGCAACTTCTAGTTGAGTCAATGCTAAGGCATCCTTGTTGCTTTCATCGGAGAAGAACTTGACGGGTGTCATGAGCCAAAGGGTCTCCTCCAAACAATTTTCTTCAGCACGCGGAGTCAGACGCCAACATCCGGGAGAGATGGTCTTCGCGAGCCCCTTCTTGGACAGCCTGCTGAACTTCAAAGAGCCAGCCTCCCACCCCCTCTACCCCAACCCCCAGCCCCGGTGCGAGCCAGATACAATCAAGACAGGAATGGTGGTGAGCAATGTGATGGTTGAGGCCCGGAGTACGATTGGGACACTGGCTCAGGCTGTAAGGCCTACAAGCCAGATACAATCAAGGTACTGATTCCAAATGGGNNACGTTTGCAAGGCATCCCAGGCATCAACGGAGTCCAGGTCGTGGTAGGACGTCTCGGAATTCGAGAATGCTCCAGCCTTCACCATATCAAGCAAGACTTCTCTTTGGTCCGGATCTTGCAATGTGCAGTCCAACTGAACACTGCTTGGGCGGAAAGCAACCGTGTATTGACAAATTCGTGCAACGTCAGTGCTTGACGTGCTTGAATTAAAGAGGGATGTCGCTGATATTAGAGCCTGACGGGAGCGTGTCACACGGACACGACACACCGAGTTGGATTCATCTGCCACACTTTCCAAGACTCGGTATGGGCAAAGAGCAATGTCCTGTGATCGCAGGTCGTCTTCTGCCTTGAGCGGCCTGCACCGCAGACATCATATTTCACGTATATGTGTTCCAAGCAAGAAAACATCAAACGACCCTCTGCACACAAATCCACCCTGGCCTTTTTAGCCGATGTGGATGAGCATGGACGACCCGAAACACGACCATCTGCGAGTCAGCGATCTCCCTTTCATCCAAGATGTGGTCCAAAACATCACGGCCAGTGTCAACTTGTATAAAGTCGCAGCCATCGTCATCTGCAAGAGACAAATTCGAGCGGGCCGGCTGAATTCTATCCCGGTCTGTTACGGCCCGAACACCTGTCGTCGCAGGCGTCGCAGGCCCTGCTTCCAACGACATGGTTGAGCGCTCCCTGGCTTTGGGAAGGGAGGACCGAGTCTGAGTTGTTGCCAAGACATCTGTCAATGCGCCACCATGCAGTGACTGAAACAATGGTGCGGGCATTGCCAAGAATACATCCTTGTCGTTTTCAAGTCGGGCTCGCAGGTGGCTCAGGCAGTGGCGATGTTGAATTGGCATCGCACTCGTTGTTTCAAGCGCAAGATAATGCTTTGAACCCGGTCCCTGGCCGTCGGCCCTAGCATCATCAATCAAACTTTGCACCAGGTCAGCATTGACATACAGCTGAGCAGGAAACCGTCGATACATCATCAATTGAAGCTGCTGCTTTGTAGCTTGCTTGTCCTTGACAACAACCTGAGGCTGACTGAGACAACCTATCGGGGATCAGATCAACACGCCTCCGCGTTGAACTCCTGTAACATTCTGAGGGCAGCGCGCAATCTTCCCCTCCCAAGAGGTGAGCGCAATGGGCGAGTAGACCGGCATGGCTGGTAACATCCTGAAGCAGCAACACGGGACGATAAGGGTCTTCGGCTGCGGCGGCAGCACGTCAATACAAAACTGCCTTGAACTCCACGGCGATGTCATGCAAGTCCTGAGAGGAGCTGGGCGCAGGAACCGTCAGTGAAGCTCCGTACTATTTGTGTTTCTTCTTGTCAAGACTCGGCGGGATTGGAGAACAAGGCCTCCACATCTTCCCACCTGGCAGGTGTTGCAAACAGAGTGATATCATTGATATCACGCGGCCAGGCGGCCAGGCAGTGTCGCATAACATGTGGTGCACGGCAAGAGCCTGGTTTCTGTGGAGAGATAAGAATCTTTAGCTGCCGGCGCGCGGGAAAGAACCATCCTGGGTTGCACATAGGTTGACTCGTACGGACACGTCAAGTCAGCCACATGATAATATGCCGCTCGGTTTCTTCAAATCCCGGTGAATTGCCTGGGATATTTCATAAGCGCATTGGCTATAATACAGCTACACTGCGCATTTGCTCTCTAAGTGCAAGCAATGCAAACAATTTGCTTCAATCGGTCGCTCCACTATTCGCACAAGCTTCAAAGCACCTGCCCACAAGTAGAGGTTGCTTTCCATATCGCCGCCTTCCAGAAAGCTGTCGACCTCAGGGCACTTGCTGTTGCTGCCGCTTGTTTCTCGGCTTGGACAAGCAGACAGTTGCCTCTTCCCACAGAGGAACATCGAACGCATCATCCGGGTGTCCTTCGACGTGGGACTGGCTACTCGAGCCATCTGGATCCTTATGCGCTGATGAGCTCTCTAAGCCTGGGTCCTTCATATAGCGGATCAAAGAAGCGCCGAGTCATTCGATGATGTTTGAAAGGATCCTTGGATCATGACAGCTGGGGCTGCCGTGGCAGACTCACCAGCGGCTAATGCTTTAACGCCTTCGGCTACCACCAAGGACCATGACTGTCATCATTGATCACTGATAATCCATGTTCGTTGCATCTGAGGCTTTGTTCGCGCTTGGGTTTTCGGACAACAAAGCAAATAGTCCTGGAAACCAGGACAGT